GAGAGAGAGAGAGAGAGAGAGAGAGAGAGAGAGAGAGAGAGAGAGAGAGTCAGATAAAGCGAGAGAGCGACGAATGAGAGGAACGTGCCGGAGACGGAAAACATCGCTGGGTGGAGGACGAAGAGGAGGAAGAGGGTGACGGTACAAGCATGGGCCAACCATGGTAGTCCCCGTTGACGAAGCATGGGACCACGGGGGTGGCGACGGCGGCGGCGGTGGTTGACGGTGGTGGCGGTGGCGGTGGCGGTGGCCCGCTGGAGTTTCCAGAGGGCCGGACGGTATAGAGTCCGGAGTATATCGACTGTGTCGCCTCATCTACAAGTCAATCAGGCTCGCGTGCCGGCGGCTCGTGAGGCCGGCTGGTACACGTAAGTAAGTAGCCAGCCTGATGGGCACCTACACGCATCCCCCTGCTTTCGCCGGCCTGTATGGTGGCCGCACGCCTAATACGAGGCGCTACCGTCGTCGACACGGGCACCTTTGCTCGCCGGCCGGTCGGCCGGCCGGCTGGGTATGCAAGTATAATGCGCTGGCGCATATATAAATGCTTATGGTAATCCGCGCGCGGTCGGCTTGTTTCGATGCTGGCCGGATGTCTGCTAGATAGAGCCCGTTCCGTATCGCCTATTGCTATCGGTACGTATGCCACTGCCATAACGCGGCGCCACCGATGTTTCCTTGTGTTTATCGCGGAGTCGGGGCGTACCGTTGCGAAATGATCTCACCGTAGACTCGGTTGACCCAGGGGAAGATACCCAAAACGTGAGTCCGAAGCGTTGCGTCCAAGCCCTTTCAAGCAGCTTTCAAGTGGCTGTGTTGGGTCCACGCGTCATGGATCTCCGATTGCTTTCTCAGATTAAATTATTCTACTGTCGTGAACGATATGGTTCTTCGAAATGTGAGTATTCTTATTGAACACCGAAAGAAAAGAATCGGTGTCAGATCGCTTGCAAGGCACGACGGGGTCGGGAGGTTTCGCAGAATTTATCGATCAAATCGCGCGCGCGCATCCCGATGAGTCATTTCACGATCGATGGGCCAGAATCACGGTCGAACTTATGGTCCGCAGTGTCGACATGGTTCGAATCATGACTCGGCTCAAACGGTAGCAGCCGGCCGTCTGTATAGCCTGTCTACGTAGACGAGTGATCATATCGGGTCGTTAACTGATATTAATAGCAGGGCGCGGTGAGCCGGGTGGAGACTGTCTTCCTTCCTCTCTGTCTCTCCCTTTCTCTTTTTCCCTCTCCCTCTTTCTCTCTTTCTCGCACTCCTCTATCCTACATCGGTGCGCGCTCGAGCGGCCCTTGCCCTAATTGCAACAAATTAAATCAGGCGATATCGGCGATTCCCTCGGCTTGAATTTACGTGCGTACGAAGCGTGCGTACGACGAAGCGTGCCGCGGCCGCATTGTACGCGTCTTTTCACCGCTGTGGCCGCCCCGTGCGCGTTGCCACCTTAATTGGCAGCGGCTTTTACGGCCGAGGATACGGGTGATTTGATTTGCCAGGCTCAGGAAGGAGAAAGAGAGGAATCGATCACAACAGGGAGTTATCGCGGACGTGGTGACGGGTGGTCCGTCTCGTAGCGAGATTCGTGGACGCCCAGGCGACGCTCCTGTCTTGCTCCGGCTGGCCGCTGAATTTCCGCACGCGAGACGACCGTGATTTTTAAGCATGCGAATAAATTCGCATTCTTTTTAATGTGTCGCTTTAACCTGTTGAATGCATAGCGTTCGTGACAAACGGTGATTACATTCGCGGCTCTCCCACGAGTTACATTCGTTTTTTTTCCGTTTTTATCATTTCGACGATCGCGTTCTGCACACGATAAGCGTGTTAACTCGCGTCGCACCCTTCCTCGGCGCGGAGAGCCCGCGATATTTCTCGTGGTGTAAGGGCCTTTGATATTCAACGCTTTCTTCACGGTGTCCTTCGCGAACGGACAACACTCGCGATGATGATAACGTGACGTCGTTGCTGAGCTGCCTCGCTCTCGAAATCTACGTATACCGCTTCCCCCGAACGTAATATCGCCCTACCTCTGCCGAAAGTCGCGCTCTACAAAGGTACCCGTCCGCTTAAAGAGAGAAAAGAAAAAGGCGGGGTGGGAAGAGAAGAAAAGAGTGCAGAAAGAACGCGGTGAAAAGAACGATCGCGGAGACGACTTTTGATATTTCCTGCCCTTACCATTAGCCAAGCAGGACTCGAGCCGGGGCGGGGGTTAGTGCGGTGGATGCGAGGAAAGCCTCAGGAAGCTCTAACTCACGGGCAACCCACCCCGTTCGACCGTGCCGGCCCCTGCCATTAACATTAACCGAGCACATACAGGGTGTTTGCAATGGCATTATCGATCGGCGCGGGGTGAAAAAAGACCAGCGAATCGAGCACTTTGTACGATACGTGCAGGAAACGCCTAGTTTACATTCACGAAAGCCGGCTAAACGCCGATAGACTCGTCCTCGCGGGTTATGCACGAGGACCTTGTGCGTGACATGGATTTGCCCGACGCCTTCAGCGCTGCTGAAGACATCGTCGAGGACGGCATTATTTTTCGCGACACACACACGTTCGCGCGCGCGAGTTGCCGAGGTGCTGAGGGCAAAAGAGGACAGATCCCTCGACAAACTGTCTGTGCAGTCGAAAAAAGCGCCAGCACATCGGAAAACGTAATTTTCGTGTTATGTCGGCCACGCAGCAGTCCCTTTCATCGAGACACATCGCGCTCGTCCTTCCCGTTTGCAAAACGTTGTTGTTCGCGAAAGAACAAAAATGTCGGGTCGCAGCGGGACTTTTGCATGACAATGCGCTGGCGAATCGCGTGGATCACGATCAGTCGTACAATACATTGATGTTTCTCGCACGATTGACACCGCTTCTCCCGTCCAACGATCGGAAACTTTACGCATGAACGAAGAGCTACGACATCACTCATGGCGGTCATAGGAAGCGGAACAACGGCGATGACCGTCGTTAGAAGTGTGTCTCGAGTGCATGTGAAGATGGCTGCTTCGAACAGTCGATAGTGTTGCTTCGAAATGAGAAAATTGCAGCGCGCGTTTAAAACATCAAAGTAAAAGTAAATTGCAAAGAAGAAAAATGTCATTTTATCGCTGAGAAAGGCGATTTACTCTTCTCTTTTTGTAAACCAATGGTTACTTTCAACGAGAAATATTTTTTTTATAATATAGTCTTTAAATACTTGTTGGAAATTTTGGAAAAACTCCTTATAATACACTCAAGAGAAGAATTCATTGTTTTTACAAAAATATCACAAAACTTTGTCGAAGAAAAAATTGCTTTGACTCTAAGTGAACAAATATCTAAGAAATAAAAAAATATTTATTTGAAATAGTTACTAATAATATATTTATTTATATCAATATATATAAAATAGTTTTAAAGTAAGAAAATGCATATTTCCTGAAAATCTAAGCTTTTCATGAAAGCAATTGTTTACTTGTAAATAAAAAACTCTAGATTCAAATAAATATGTTATCATTACTCATCATGTAAATATTTTTTATTTCTTAGCTATTTTTTCTTTCAGTTAATAAGCAAGCTAAATTTTTATTTCAATTTAATATTCTTCATTGAAACGCTAAACTTACTAGAATTTAGAATATGTTTTGAATAACTTTGGTCAACTTTCTTATAACAAATTTGCGGCTATATGAACTTATGAATTACTTGAAACAAGCAACACTTACATGAATACAGTATATATTTTTCTGTGCGCACATTTTCATTAAACCATCAAACTCATCGTCGCGTTACTATCATTCTCCTCATTAAAAAATGCTATATAAATTGATAAAATATCATCGATATCGTCACTGAATTGATCATCTTCATTTTGGTTATTGTGTGTGTGGGGGCGCGAGAAGTTTCCACCGCATTGCCGGGCAGCGGTTTGATTCGCGAACGAGCATCTCGAACGGGAAATTTCATTGCGAACGCGAAAATAACTGCAACTGCGAGTTTTATATAGGCGATGACGAAACGGAATTCTATTAAATCAAAGCATCGATTTTGCCGTAGCCGCCACCACCGCCACCACCGCCGCCGCCGCCGCCACCGCCATCGCCGCGGTAGCGCGTCGATAGCGCGCGAGTTGGTTAACGAAGGCGGCGATAACGATACATTATTATCGCGATACGTATGAATATATGCCGCCCCATGCCCGAGCTGCCCTTTGAAAATCGTATACCAGGCACGTGTCCGGCCTGTCGCGCCCCCGTTGTTACTCCACCGCGTGGATCAGATAATTTTCAGTACAAGCAGATACGGCTCGCTATTCGCACGGCGAGCCGATCTCTCGCACGGAGAGAGATCACGCGATATCGCTGATATATTAATCAAACAAATTGGACATTTCAACCGTGTCATCGACCGACCGCGAGTTTTCAGACGTGGACGCGAAAATTCGCTATCAGTCGCGTTCCTCTCTTTCCCTCTTTCCTTATCGGTTTCTTCCCGAGGGAAGAGTGATCCCACGTAAGGTCGCATCTCTCTCTCTCTTTCTCTCTCTCTCCATCTCTCATTCTGCCTCGCGGTAACGGCGTTAGCTTGGGAATTTATCGCGCTGGAGCCTCGATCGCGGGGATCGATTTATTTTCATCGCAGTCATTCTCACTCGCGTATTTTCACTCTCTTCCTCGGAATAACTCACCGTTGCTACTGTGACGCCAAAGCACGTCCGTGTCGCGTCCGCGCGCGGAAAATCGCTGACGGGATCTGATCGCGTTTTGCGGGAACGTGTATTTTTGTTTTTTACTGCCACCTTTCAGCGCTTTCCGCGCTTTCCAAGGAGGTGTAACACGGACACACACACACACACACCTTGACTTACGTACCTGCCTATCTATCCCATCAGCCCGGTCGACACGATCGAGCCTGACGACGCGCGCCGCGCGCGCGGATCGCCGTCAATCCATTCTCGTAGTCTCCCCGCGAACGCTTATCGCGCGCACCGGTATCCTCGGCATCAATAATAATAAAAGCACCGTGGGATATCGCGCGTCTCGTATGACGCTCCACGGGAAGCCTTCCGCCACTTCCCACCTACGCTTACAACACGAAGCGGGGTAAGGCCGAAGGAGAGAGACCGGGACGTAGAACGAGGGTGGAGAAAGACGAGCGGAGGGACGGAAGGAGACAGAGAGAGAG